TTCTATTCTATTCTATTCTATTCTATTCTATTCTATTCTATTCTATTAATTGTGGTTGTAAGTCGAGGATTACCTGTAAATAGAAATGGGGCTGTTGGAGATTTAAATGCTAGAGAAACACATTTTCCCCCTACAGGGAGGAGACAATGCTGGAGAAAATAGCTTTTAAAAAATAAAGTTTAGCAAGTGCGTGCAGAAACAGTGGCTAAACATTTGTGACAACTTTTTCATTGTTGTTGTCAGATTTCAACTGCTGGAGTCAGGTCACTGGGTTGAGAAAGTAAATTTTTCCATCCTGAACAGCCAAGGCTACATAAGCTTCACAATCAGTGATTTCAGCAATTTCTTTGAGATTTCAGGATTCAGCAAAGCACCGAATGAATGGCAGTGGATTACTGGAGGGCATTTATTATAAACTGTGAAATGTCCAATCTGGTTGTGAAGGGAGCTGTTCCATCACAATTGCTACCACTAAATCAATGTCTAGCTTGCTTCTGGCTATGGTTTCTTAGGCATTTTTTTTTTAAAGTTACTGTCTCCACTGCTTTACAAATGCTAGCATTAAAATATATTGATGCAACCTCACAAGTATTCATTTATCTTTCTTTTTCCGTTCTTAACCTTGTAATATTTGTAGATTTTCTTCCTTAACTGTTCAGGCAATTTAAGGAGCTCTCTCCTGATTATATCACTGAACTTTCTTGAGTGCTTGCTTGGTTGCTGTAAATGAGAGAGGAAGCTTTCAAGTCTGAATCTTGTAACATGACTGACAGTTGTAGTTACCGTTATATTTCATGCATCATTGGATATGTGTTGGGTCTTTTTAGGAATTTAACTTTGGATCGGTTAACTGGAAGAGTTAGAACTAAGACATAGCAATGCGGATTCACAACAACACACTTTTTTTTACAACCCTATAATCCCTTAATTCAGGGGATGCAGTGGATCAGTGGCTAAGATCCTGAGCTTGTTGATCAGAAAGGTCAGCAGTTTGGTGGTTCGAATCCCCAGCACCGCATAATGGAGTGAGCTCCCATTACTTATCCCAACTTCTGCCAACATAGCAGTTCGAAAGCATGTAAAAATGCAAGTAGAAAAATAGGGACCCCTTTGGTGGGAAGGTAACAGCACTCCATGCGCCTTCAGAATTTAGTCATGTCAGCCACATGATCACAGACATGTCTTCGTACAGCGCTGGCTCTTCGGCTTTGTAACAGAGATGAGCACCACCCCCTAGAACTGTAAATGACTAGCACATATGTGCGAGGGGAATCTTTACCTTTAATCCCTTAATTCAGGGAAGAGTCAGGGGCAACTGGATGGAGCTGGGCATTTACTGATGCCATGCAAAGTTCACAGCAGATTTATTTTCTTTGTGACCTGGGAGAGAAACATCTGCAGCTACCTAGGATTGAACTCTCAACCTTCTGATTGGGAGGCGAGCATCTTCATCAATAGGCCACCACACTGCTCTCTTGATTCATAAAAATTGTCCCAAATGCCTTACAGGATACCTAGAAGATACCTAAATAAGCCTGAGGTTGGGTCCTGACCCCCCCAACTTATGAAAGATAATCTTCAGTTACCATCTACTAGTTTAGTGACCTAAATAATTTGAAATGTGCAAAGTATGTGTTGCTTAATTTTGTTCTATATCATTCTGCAGATATGTAGACACAATCTACAGACCTTGACTATGTATCAGAATGGTCAAACAAATGGCAACTCCAAATCTCAACAAATAAATGCTCTGTCCTACATATTGGCAAAAAAATAAATAAATCAGAAAATAAAATACAGGCTGAATAGTCAAGATCTTGTTGATGATCCAAACTCTGTCAAGGATCTTGGAATACTCATCTCAAATGACCAAAGTGCTAGAGCCCACTGTAATTACATAGCCAAAAAGGCGTTAAGAGTTGTTAACCTAATCTTATGTAGCTTTTTCTCTGGTAATATTACACTAATAACAAGAGCATATAAAACATTTCCTAGACCAATACTCGAACACAGCTCATCAGTCTGGAAACCATATTACGTATCTGATATTAACACAGTTGAGAAAGTCCAGAAATATTTCACAAGAAGAGTTCTCCACTCCTCTACTTGTTGCAGAATACCTTATGCCACCAGACTCAAAATTCTAGACCTAGAAAATCTAGAACTATGCCACCTTCATTACGATCTAAGTATAGTACATAAAATCATACATTGCAATGTCCTTCCTGTCAATGAATACTTCAGCTTCAACTATAACAACACTAGAGCAAACAATAGATACAAACTCAAGGTTAACCGCACCAAACTTGATTGCAGGAAATACGACTTCAGCAACAAAGGGTTTAAATGACTCCCAGATCTTTTCATAAAATGATATATAACTCTGTTTAAGAATAGAATCATTGTCAACTTTAAGAAAAGAAAAATAACGTAGATTTTGATTTATTAGGTATTTATTAAAAAATTAGTGTGACTAATTTAAGAGGAATAGAAACTGGAGAAGAAAACTGTTAGATACCTATGTGCATTTTTTTCCAGATCTCCAAGATTAGCTACAAAGAGAAAAGGTTTTGAGCAAATATTACTTGGTGTATATGTGTGTCTCTGTCTCTGCCTGCCTGCCTCCCTCCCTCCCTGTCTGTCTGTCTGTCTGTCTGTCTGTTTTGTCTCTTTCTCTCTGTCTCTCTGTCTCATAATAGAAACTCAAACTGCACCTTCAAGTGTTCAGCATAATTGCAAAGTTATGTATTTCTACCTGCCAGTCTATAATAGTTTCTTACATTTCTTCAAGCAATCTCTAAATAAAATTCCTTGCTGAACCACTGCAGCAGGCCTGAAAGTTATAGTGCATAAGAAAATTCAATGGTCATTTTTTAAATTAAAAAAAATCATCTCAAATCCATAGACCCAGCAGACACGCCCATTCATGTCTACAAATAGAAGTTTCAAAAAACCTATTCTAGTCTCTAAACTTTGGTTACAGAGATCTTTGACTTTTTACATACATATGTAAATGACACTAACCTTTCCATAATTCTGTTTCCCTCAGAGGCCAAAGACGTCGCTAAGAGTTTGGGGATTCATCTGGCCTTAGGCATGGAACCCATACGTTATTTTATTTTATTTTTAGTTTGCCAATGCTTATACCTCCTTTTGTGTCCCGGGGTTTCAGCTGATTGATTGCTGGGAATTAAAGGGGGCTTTTCTTCTTCTTTTTTTTTCCTAATGTATGATCGCTCAGGACATAGTGATATTTTACCTCTCTCTGATGCATCAAGTATTGCTAAATGCCAGAGGCAGTGTAGGAGCAAACCATTTCGATTCCTGGAGAATGGCAAATTCTCTTCCTCTCCTGAAGGAACTGGGATTGAAAAGAAAAATTCAAAATGATAGCTGCTATTTAACACACAAGATGTAACACACATCAGGCTGTGACCTTGAGAAAACACTTCATATACAGGAAGATAAAATGCTGTTTACCCTTCTTTTTGCTTTCCATTTGAACTATAAATATCTTTTAGATAATAGTTCATCCTCAGACTACCTTTGATAAAGTATTGAACCACTGAGTTTCCCCAGACTTAATCTACTTCTGGCTGCCATGCATCCTGGAAGCAAAGGGGAACAAAACAATTTTGCCCTAAAGGTTTTATTGGTCACTCATGAAGATCTACTTCAAAGAAACCAAAGAGAGAGAGGGGGAAGAAAACCCTTTTTCTGGAAACTCAGAGCATCGTCTTCTGAAGGAAAGTTAGAAAACTGGTTAGGTAGGCAAAAACTTTCACCCAGGAGTTCTTTTTGCTCGGCATTAATTACTTAGAGTAATTTTGAAAGACTCATTCAGATTTCTTCTACTGCAGGGGTGTCAAATTCAAAGCCCATGGGCCAGATTTGGCCCACAGGGTGCTTAGATCTAGCCCGTGGAGCTGCCCTGGAGATAGCGAAGGACCATCATGCCTCTGCCAGCAAAAACAGAGCTTGCTGGGCTCCATTTTCCCTAGTAGATGACTGCAGGAAGCTGTCAAGGCTGAAAACAGAGCCCAGGAGGACCGTGCTTGGCCTTCCTGGGCTCCATTTTCTCTGACAGAGGGCTGCAGGAGGAGCCCCCCCCCCGCCCCCCCCCCGGGCCACCATAGGTGTCCCCTGACACAAGTGATGTCAAGTTGGTCACAACCACCCTGGCCAGGCCCTCCTAGCCCTGTCCATCTGGCCCCCTGAGGTCAAGCACAACAGAGGTGGTATTCAGCAAGTTCTGATCAGTTCTGGAGAACTGGTAGCAGAAATTATGAGTAGTTTGGCAAATACCACCTCTGACTGGCCCCACCCCCATCTATTCTCTGCCTCCTG